CTGTTCTTCTCTATTTACGTGACAACGAGAAAACCTTAGATGGACATCAGCCTTGGGGCTTAGTAAGCACACTGTCACCTCTTTTGAGGATCCTCACAACCATCCATGAGGCAGGTGATTAAAGCATTTTCTAGACCTGTGATTATATTGGTATTGAAAAATCCTAGTGTGAAAATTCCCCTCACCAATACTGATTACAATCAGTAATTTATAATTTTAGAGAGGTTTTTGGTACATTGAGAGGTTAAATGTCTTGGCCAGGAACAGTGTCAGAGGCAGGATTTGAATCCAGGACTTCCTGACTTCTGAGTTGGGCGTCCATCCACCATGCCACACTGCTTCTATTTTATAAATGGGAAAATGGAGCCTCTGTAATTTGATTTAGGTCACATGGTTAGTAAATAGTAGAGATAGAGCCTGAACCCAGGGCTTCTGGCTCCAGAGCCATTGCTTTTTATACTAAACCAACATGCTTCTGCTTCTCTGGGCTATGTTATAAACATACCCGGCAATGGATAAATCTAGTGGATCTCAAGTAACGTGAGTACCTTACACAAGGCAGTCAGGGGGTGTCATAGAGCATAGGCCTGGAGTCAGGAAGACCTGAGTTCAAATCTGGCCTCAGACACTTACTAGTAGTGTGACCCTGGGCAAGTCACTTTACCCTGTTTGCCTCAGTTTCCTCATCTGTCAAATGCACTGGAGAAGGAAATGGCAAACCACTCCAGTATCTCTGCCAAGCAAACCCCAAATAGGGTCACAAAGAGTTGGGCATGACTGAAATAACTCAACAATAGTGTTTCTCCCCTTTCATTTGTGGAATGTTAATGGGACACTTTTCTACCCAAACTTTTAAAGTCCTATCTTAAAGCTAAATAAGCAAGCTTCCACCTGGAGGGCTCTGGTTTAGAACCCTGATTATATATGTCAGGTTCTCTGCCAGAAAGTCATACTTTCAGACTAGACTTCCTGAGTCAACTAACTGAGATGGAGAGACTCTCTTTGCCTGGCTTTTGTTATTTCTGGTGTTGAGAGTATGTCACTGGAAGGGTTGGGGGAAAGGTTCAAAGCAAGGGGGAAGTGGGTGCAAACAACTTTCCCACCACCTTTAGCAGCCTATAAGGGTCTATTTTACAGTCCTTTCATATGGATTCCCCCAGAAGAACATAAGCTCTGTGAGGACAGAGACTGCACTCACTTTGGTCTTTACATCCCCAAGCCTAGCATAGTGTCAACACATTCCAGGCACTTAAGGTAAGTTTATTGGTTGATTTCCTATGGATTGGTCAGAGTTAGAGCTGGAAGGGTCTCCTGCAATTTCCAAGTTAGGTGACTTGTCCAAGGTCACATAGGCACAAAATCCAAAGCAAGGATTACAACCTAGGTCCTCTGACTCCAAATTCACCACTTCTCCCACTACAACACTCCCATACTCTTTTTGAGTTCCTTAAGTCTAGAAGGCAACTTTGCTTCCCACTTTACCAGTCTGGTGAGTTGTTCAGAACAATCGACATTTCCTACTGGCCTTTAGGGAGCTGCGTAGGGCGGTGAAAAGAACTCTCCACGTGGAGCCAGCAGATCTTGGTTAAAGTCTGACTTCTAACACTTGGTGCCACTATGAGTAGAATTCTCCCTCCCTCTGGGCCTCCCCTTCAAAATTAGGAGGTTGGGAAAACAACACACACACAATGACTACAATGTAAATGGAAAAGAAAGCAACAAAAACCCGTGAATACTATGTAATTATACTGACCACACTTAGGCTTGAAAAAGAGCTGGGGAAAATGAACCTCTCTCCTCTCACTGCAGAGGTAGGGGCCTTTGGGTATGACACTTCGAATACACCAGCCAACTTGGTGGATGTGTGGATTAATTTTGCTAGACTATTTTTTTTTTGTTTGTTTTTGTTTTTGTTAGGCAGTGGGGTTAAGTGACTTGCCCAGGGTCACACAGCTAGTAAGTGTTATGTGTCTGAGGCCGGATTTGAACTTAGGTCCTCCTGACTCCACGGCCGGTGCTCTATCCACCTACCAGCCCCCGCTAGACTATTTTTCCCCCCTTTTCATTCTTTGTTACATTCACATAAGGGATGGACTGACTAGGAGAGAGATTTAGGATATTTGTGGAAATAAAGGTAATAAAAATAAATAAAAGAGATTAATAAAATATTTCAAAATTAAAGGAAGGGTTCAGACCTGACATCTGAGGCCCAGCTCAGATTCTAGTATACAAAATAATTTCCTCACAACTGTACTGTAGGGCAGTAATTCAAGTATCCTTACCCTCATTTTATAGATAGAGAAACTGAGGTTCACAACATCCCCCTCAAGTTGAGGACACATCTCAAATACTGATTTTCTCCTACATCAACTCATCCTGGTTCTGGATCCAGGTAGGCCACTTTAACTTTCAGACTTTAGTGTCCTACTCTGTAAAATGAGGGATTGGCCTAGAAGATACCTGAGATTTCTTTCAGTTCTGTATCTCAGATTCTGGGATCAGTGGGGTCAGGACTGAGGAAGGCTGGGACAGCCCAGGGCAAGGACAATTCCATCATAGCACCTGGACCAAAATAGGAACGAAACTCATCTTTCAGTTACGAGGCCTGGCACTGGTACAGTCTGTAGATAGAAAGGGATGCGCATCCGTAGCTGAGTCATTTAGATTTTCTGAGCCTCAGTCTTCCTATCAGTAAAATTGGCATAACACTGTAGGCAGCACCTACATCACGGGATTGTTTCGAGGCTCACATACATTTTGCAAATTTTAAAGCGTTACAAAAATGTGAGCTGTTGACCACGTCACCTGCTCCTCTCAAAAAACTCCAATAGCTCCCTATTACCTCCTATTCGTTGTCCAAAGCCCTTTACAACCTGCTCTCCCCGCTCTCACCTTTATTACCTGTTTCACCTTGGGAAGCCATTTCCCTATAGAAGCCTCGGTTTCCTCATCTGTAAAAAGAAGGGGGTGGACCAGCTGAACTCAAAGGTCCCTTCCAGCTCTCACATTTCATGTCCCCATTTTGCAGATGAGAAAAATGAGGCTCAGAGACGTTAAATGACTTGCCCACAGGTTCCGAGAGGTCAGGAGATGTTCCTGTGTCTCGCCTCTTTCAGCATATCCCAACACTTGGCTCTGTGTCCGGCATACCGCAAGAACGTAATGAATGTCAATTCAACGGAAGCATCAGATCACCCGGGTCTGAGTCCACTCTGCTTCTCACAGCACCGCAGGCTTTCTCCATTCAACACAGGAAATACAGGCCACAGGGACCAGCTTTTCAGGATGGAAAGAATGGGAGGAAGGGGTTGGGCCTTCTCCATGGTGATGACGAGGCTGAAAGAGCCCTAGATAGGAAGTCAGGAGGCCTGGGCTCTGACTCCTGCTACTCCTTCGCTGGGTCACTTTCAGCAGGTTATTCCCCCTCATTGGGCCTCAGTTTCCTTATGTGTAAAATGAGGGGGTCAGTCCCTAGGGTTCACTCTAGCTCTAACAGTCAATAATTCTATAACATCCTGAGACAAAATTGTCCCCCCAAGTCAGCCCTGTGGGACGTCAGAGATGTTTTGTCCAAAGCCAGCTCCAGATGTAGCTGGTCAGAAGCGGCAAGGAGAAAAAGTACCCCATTTCTAAGAGACATTTTTGCCCTGAGGAAGAATTCTGTCCCAAGAGTTGAGGGACAGAAACTTCCTGCAGGCTGTCCTAGTTGGCACACAGCTTCATTCTCAGAGGGACCCAGGTTGGCAGTGGTCTGACTGGTGGGGGGAAGGGTGGTTCCAGGCAGGGGTGGACTCTGTCCCTCTAGACGCCAAGGCTGGTCCCTGACCCTTGGAAAAAGAGGGCATAAGTGGGGAGCATAGAAAGCAGGGAGAGAAGCCACGGCACAAATCTTCAGAAAAAGAAGTGGGGAGGTGGGTGGGCCCACCTCACCCTAGACACCAAGGCCAGTCCCTGAATCCTCTCTGGAAAGGATAGAGTAGAAAGGGAAGCAGTAGGGATGGAAAGATATAAAAGGGGAAGGGAGAGAGACCATGGCACAGGTCTCTAATAAATAACAAGTATTTATTAAGCATGTCCTATGTGCCAGGTAATGTGCTAGGTATTTGAGAGAGTGGGTGGTCCCTGGCTCTATTCCACCCTAAATACCAAGGCTGGTCTTGTGCCTGCAAGAGGAGCAGACAGAATATGGCTAAGTGGGGAGTATATAAAGTCAGGAGGAGGGGAGATGAGGGAGACCCACAATGGCACAGGACCCCAGGAGAGAGAGTGAGGAGGTTCCTGTCTCAGACTCATCCCAGATCCCTGAATCCTCTAATGAGATAAGGGAGAGAGAGAGAGAGGGAGGGAGGGAGGGAGGGAGGGAGGTAACCGGCCCCATCCCACTCACCCAAGACACAGTCTAGTCCTGGAGACATTTCTACAACACACAGGGAAGAGGTGGGGGAGTTCAAAGGCAAAGGGGAATAGCAGATAGGCTGGGGCCCATCTTAGGAGACAGGGCAGGAGGTCACTGGTCCCCGGAGTCTTCTTTAGGGCATACGGAATAGGGAGAAGAGAGAGAGGAAATTGAAGACAGACTCTGGTGTATATGTGTGTTGTGAGTGGAGGGGAGAAGTGTCTGGTTTCTCTTCCCTCACAGGCTATGCCTGGGAATGAGGGAGTCTGCATAAGGGGAGGGGGAGTGTGTATGGTCGCTCAGTAGTCAGCTCTGGGGAGGCTGCTCTGTGCAGGGGATGGGGGAAATGGGGTACGGGGTTTAATTCTCATATTCTGTGTTTTTAGGTGTAGGTGGCTTCATTACGCCTGTGTGACACTGGACAAGTCACAACTTCTCTGGGCCTCAATTTCCTCAATTGTAAAACGGGAGGCTGGCCTCCGAGGTTCTTCCAGCCCTAAAGCTATGCTCCTATGATCCACTGCTCAGTCCGTGGGGGTGGGGGGAGTGCTGTACGGTACCTGTGCAGCTGGGAAGGGGCAAAGGGGCTGGCGCTGCCGCCTACCTGAATGCCATTGGGGTACACCTCGCCCTCCCCGAGGGAGTCCACCAGATCTTCCTCATCGAGCGTGGCCCGCTTGTAGGACGACATCTGAAACAACAAATGCAGAATCGACTCCCTGAGCACTTCCATGGCTTCTCGGGAAAGGCGGGCGTAGGGGCCCAAACCCCAAACTCGCGTGGCCCGGCCCAGCCCCAGCCCCAGCCCCTGCCTGGACCCTTGGTGTTCCGGCGGCAGCGTGGGGCTCACTCACCCCCAGCCTAGAAAGCAAAGCAGCGAGCTTAGCGGCCAAAGGACTGGCAACGAGGCAGGGGCTCCGCATGTCGACGCCTGGGCTCAAGCCGCTTGCCCTGCTGGGTCCGGGAAGGGCAGGGCAGGGCAAGGCAACCAGAGAGGGCCGGGGGTGGAGGGAGTGGGGCAGGGGCAGGAAGGGGGCGGGGCCGCGCTGCCGCCCCCCCCCCCCCCTGGGCCCCCCCCCCCCCCCCGGGGAAAGCCCCGGGGGGCCGGCCCGGCACGCCTGGCTCTGCCCAGCCAGAGGCCTGGATAGGGCCTCAGCGAGGCTGGCCTCCGGGACCGGACGGGACCGGACGGGACCGGGCAGGTTGAAGTTGGTGAACCTGAGCCAGTCTATGGGGCTCCTCTCTCCCAGGTGCCCACAATCTACAGCTTTCTCTCGCTACGGGCCGCAGAGAAGGCCGGGGATGGGCTCCTGGATTAGTGAACTGTCCCGGAAAACTCCAAGTACGTGCCTCCCTCCCTTTCTCCCTCTTCCTCCGCTGTCTCTCCCTCCCTCTTTCCCTCTCTCTTCCTCTCTCTCTTTCCTACACTTTCTTCCTCCCTTTCTCCCTTCTCTTCCTCCCTTTCTTTCCCCCTCTTCCTCCTTTCTTCTGTTTCTTCCCCGTCCCTTCCTATCACCTCTCTTCCTCCCCTTCCCTCTTCCCTTTCTCCCCTGTCTTTCTCTCTCCCTTTCTGCCCTCTCTTCCTCCTGTCTGCTTCTTGATGGATGTGGGAGGGTCATCATAGTGCCATCCCGATGGCACCCACACTCTTCTCTCCTCTTTCCAATCCATCTTCCACACAGCAGCCCAAAGCATCTTCCTAAAGCACAGGTCTGACCACAGCATCAATCAAGAAGCATTTAAGTGCCTACTGTGTGCTAGGTAAGCACTGTGGATTCAAAGACAAGTCAAAACAATCAGTGCATTCAAGAAGCCCACTTATCACTGGCTTTCCACCCCTCCTCCCAAAAAAATCAAAACATTTTCAATAGTACAAGCAATTTGAAATTCAAGACTCTTCATTTTCTTGGACCCCTAGTTTTCCAAAGAGCATCTCAAATGTCCCTTCCAGCTCTGAATTTATGATCCTATGAGCCTCCATAATCTAGCTCCAGTCTACCTCTTTGCAGTATTGTTTCTTTGTATTCCTCTTCAAGAACTCTTATGTTTCAGGTCAAACTGAACTCTCCCCACCCTCACACTCAGTCAGCATGAACTGCCTCCCCTCATCTGTGCCCTTCTACGCTGAGCTCAGGTGCCACCGAGGTGAAGCCTCTTGTGATTCTCCCAGTGAAGGCTCTCCTTTGCCCCCCTCCCTCCCACCCGCCCTGCCTTGATCACACTCACCTGTGAAGAGGTCAGGCCCTCCGAGGAGTATGAAAGCTCCTCAAAGGTAGAGACCACAACCTGTGTAACTTTGCAGCCCTACCCAGGGTAGCACACAGGACCTGTCCAGCTGCAGAGAGGTTCAAGCGAACTGAAACCAGGGCTAGGGCTCCAGCTGGAAGTCATCAGGGAACAGAAACTACCAAAGTGGAAACCCCTGGGGGAGGTGGGGAGAGGCAGAGAGAGATAGAGAAGGCCAAATAGTCTTTGACCCCAAGGAACTCACAGTCTGAGGGAGATGATATGGAAATAATGAGGCATGTAAAAGATATCTAGGAAGCAGATAAAGTATAATCTGGGAGGGGAAGACCGCTGGGGGTGGTGGTGGTGGTGATGGTGGTAAGAAAGGCCTTCTATAGAACATAGGACTTGAGCTGAGCCTTGAAGGAAGCCAGGGAAACTTAGGGATAGAGGTAAGGAGGGAAGAGTATAACAAGTATGTGGGGACACCCCGTGCAAAGGCACAAACCAGTTCCTGCCCTTAAGGAGTTTACAGTCTAATGGGGGGGCACTCTGCATGCCTGTGTATATTCCTATCCTCTTCCTCCTCCCCAAATCTGTGTGTGTGTGTGTGTGTGTAGGGAGTGCATTCCTGGCATTCAGATCAGCCAAAACAAAAAAACGGAAGGTGGGAGGTGTAATCTCACGTATGAGAAACTACACGAGGACCAGTTTGACTAAACCACAGTGTCCACAGAGGGGAGTTATGCAGTGTTTTAACAGAACAGGTGGGGGTGGGGAAGAGCTTGTAGGTCTTTTTAAAAGAATTGAATGGAAAGAATAAGCAGGCTTGGAGAGGCTGTGATCTGCACCAAGGAAAAGTGGTAGCCATAGGCAAAAGATCCAACATCCAGCCAAGGTGGAGAGGAAGAGGTATCTGAGTTAGACCCTGAAGGGGACGGCCAATGAGGGTAAAATATCCTCCTGAAGAAAAATCTTTCCAGTGTCTTCCTCTGGGCTTCCAAGTTCTCAGAAGTCCTTTCGTTCTGTAATTATGGTGCCACCTTTGGCCCCCAAAGACCCATGGGAATTTCTCTTTGTCCCTTCTTTGCAGAAGTGGGCAACTATGGGTGTGTAACAGTGTATATACTGGACTGATATGTCCATTCGTTTTGCCAAACTACTTTCTTCTTACTTTTTTATTCGTGAGTATAAGAAATGGTTCTCTGGGTAGGGGAAGGATATAATCAGAAATGAAAGTAATATAAAAACAATGCTATCAATAAAAATGTTTTCAAGAAGAAATTCTATGATTCTCAAGAAACTTGGGCCTGGAGAGGCACTGAGAAAGTAACTGTACCTTCCTCCCTTCTCTGAAGAGGTTGGGGCTGGGGGGTGGGGGGGTGTGTGGTGTAGTGCACATGCTGTATGACTTAGCTGCTTTTCTCTCTTCTTTGTTATAGGGCAGCTAGATGACTCAGTAGATAGGCCACTGGGCCTGGGGTCAGGAAGACCCAAATTCAAATCCTGCCTCAAACACTAGTGGTGTGACCCCGGACGAGTCACTTAACCTTGGTTTGCCTTAGTTTCCTCATCTGTAAAATGAGATTAATAATAGTACCTACCTCCCAGGATCAAATGAGATGATATTTGTAAAGTGCTTTACTAACTTTAAAATGATATATAAATGCTAGCAGCTGCTACTGTAAAGCACTATGTAGGAGAAAGGGGAAGGACATATTTGGAAATAAAAATGATGTGAAAATAAAAGATATTTATCAATAAAATTTTAAAAAAAAGAAATTCTATGCTTCTGAGTCATATTTACCTCCCGGACATTGTCCTCTCGCACCCTTACAATAACAACCTTCACATTACCCAGACTTGTGTCTGAGGCCCAATCTTAAAGCCCCATCCCTATTGTTTAAATCCTTGCTCTGTGACTCACTGCCTGTGTCACCTTAGGCAAGCCACTTCTCTTTTCTGGGCCTCAGTTTCCTCATCTGTGAAATGAGTGGTTGTTCCCAAAGGTCTCTTCAAGTCACTTCCCTTTTCTGGGCCTCAGTTTCCTTATCTGTAAAATAAGTGGTTGTTCCCAAAGGTCTCTTCAAGTCACTGCTCTTTTCTGGGTGTCAGTTTCCTTATCTGTAAAATGAGTGGTTGGTCCCAAAGGTCTCTTCTGAGGTCCCAGTCAATTCTAAATCTTACGAAGTCTAAGCTGACTTCCCAAGACAGGAGAAGCTAAGGAACGTCAGGAAGTCTCGGATAGGGTCAGAGAGCAGGCACATCTGCCACGTCTGGGTTTGCCAATTTGTTTGTTTCTACCTCATTAAATATGTGCATGACAACATATGGGTTTATTATTGTTTTATTTCATATTTTGCATATTTATTTGATTATTCTTGCTGATGGTTGTTTATAAAAATCAACCCATGATGTTAGTGCCAGAAGGGACATTAGAAACATTAGGGAAAAAATCCAAATCTAATCCCTTCTTTTATGGATACAGCAACTGAGGTCCAAGGAAGTGGTTTGCCCAAGGCCAGAGAAATAATTAGCGGTGGAGGCCATGGGCCACCCTGGCCACCTGCCTCCCCCTCCAGGGCTTGTCACCTTAGTAGTGGAGACACTCAGAGGTGCCCGAGTAGTGCAATGGAAAGAACACTAGGTTTGGATTCAGAGGACCTGGTTTCATATCCTACCTCTGTCAACAATCTTCCTTATGGCGAGAGTTGGTCACACTCCTTCTCTGCTCAAAAACCTTCCTCTTACCTCCCAAGTTAATTTCGGTCAAAGAGCATTTACTAAGCACCTACTGTGTACCAGGCACTGTGCTAAGTGCTAGAGCTACAAAGACAGGCAAAAGATGGTCCCTGCCCTCAGGCAGCTCACTCTCTAACCAGGAAGAGGACATAAAAATAACTCTGTCAGTATAAGATACCTATAGTTAGACATATCTAGACACCTACACAGTATAAATGAAAGGAATTCTTAGAAGCAAGACTTTTAATGCCAAATAGAATTGTTTAAATTTGACCTCCGCCTACTGGCTTCCTTCAAGTCTTGGCCCAAATCCTACCTTCTGCAAGAAGCCTTTCCCAGCCAGCCCTCCTTAATGCTAGCGTCTTCCCTTAAAGATTATCTCCAATTTATTCTGTATATATCTTACTTGTGTGTGCTTGTTCTTATGTTGTTTCCCCATTAGACTATAAGAGTAGGGACTGTTTTCTCCCTTCCTTGTATCCCCAGCACTTAGCACAGTGCTAAGTAATTAGTAAGTAATTGTTGACTTTTGGACTTGACTTGATCCTGGAGGTGATAGGGAGCCACAGCAGCTCCCTGAGCAGGGGAGTGACCAATTCTCCTTTAAGGAATTTCTACAGTCTGGCTCTTCTATACCTTTCTAATTTCCCTTCTAGGATTTTATACAAGCAAAGCCCAAGTGCCTGCTCTGTCCCCCATGTGCCCCATGGCCTTGGTGCCTCTCTGCATTATGAATTCCTACCCATCCTTTTAAGTTCTACTCCAATGTCACCTCCTCCAAGAAGCCCTCCTGGATTCCTTCAAGGCAGGTATACTATCCTATCTCAGCCCTCACTTACTATTTGGTTTGGCACCTCTCAGATGAGTCTTAGCAAGTATCTCAGTGAACTGTCTGTGTCCTATCCCTCTACCAGGCTGGAAGTTCCAAGGCCACAAGGCCTGGGTATTATCTAAACTTTGTCTCCCTTCCCCACCCCCATCCCGACCCTTAGCACACAGAAAGGGGTAGATAAACATTGATACAGGAATGAATGAACGAATGAATGACTTGTCCAAGGTCACATGGCTAAGAAGTGTCAGAGCCAGGACCAAGTTCAGGGCTCCTGCTGCTCCTGCTGCCTTGGGACAGAACATTATGCCCTCTTCTCTTCCCCTCCTCCCTTTGTTTCTACAGTGAAGTGGGCCCGATGCCTACGGGAGAAATCTGCCTTGAATTTGAGTTAGGTGCTCAAAAACAAAAACAAAAAAAAAGGCTCAAAGGAGACCGAGGGAAATCACAGCAGAAATAGAGCCCTCCTCCTCCAGACTATTTTGGCCCTTGGTTACCCAGAAAACTGATTAAATCCAGACCATGTGTGCAGAATGCAGTGCCCATCCATGGAAACATCTCGTGTTGAAACCAAGGGTGCTGAAAGGAATTGCCAGCATCAAAGGCCAAGGGTGAAGAGAGCTTTTAAATATTGTAAAGGGCTGTTATTCATCATAACAGGGCGTGCTTCTAATGGCCCCCAAATGTCACTGAAGAATTGAGCTGTTTTGTACCCTCAGTTCCAGCCCCTCCCAAGCTCAAAATACCCTTGTGGTTATCCCTAAGGGGACTTATTTTGGGGGAGGCGGTGGACATAAAATGAGATAATCTTTAAAAAAACCTTCAGGGGTATTAAAAACAATAAAGGCTGACTCTATACAAGGGGATCTGAGGGTCTTAGTGGACCCAAGATCAATATAGGTCAACAGTGCTATAAGGCACTATGATCTTAGGCTCCATTGAGAGGTACAGTGAATTACCACCATAATGTAGATGAAAACAGCCCCAAGAGAGATCAGAATTCAGAATAGACCTGATTGATGACCAGTCTTGGTTCCATAGAACTAATGATACAGGATTTCCTTCCTTCCTTGTAAAGATGGAGGACTACAAATTTCTCAGTCACTGTGTCAGTCTCTTTCAGTTAGCTGTTTTCTTTGGTATGAAGGAGGGCTCTATTGGGTCAACGAGGTTATTAGGAAACAGAAGTGGAGTAATAAATTAATTAAACAGAGAGATTAATGAAGAAAATATTAATATAACAGAAAGCTAAAGACATCAGATCCAGGACTAGGGAGGTGAAGAGCGTCACTGTCCTGTGTCCTGGCTAGAGTGCACCTGGAGTGTGGCATTGGGTTCTAGAGGACGTGGTTTAGGAAGGATAATCATAAGCTGGGCGGCATCCAGAAGTCTACTAGGAAGGTGAAGGCCTTTGAGATGAGACACTGTGAGAATCGCTTGAAGGAAGTGGGGATGTTCAGTCTAGAGCAGAGAAGATTCAGGGAGACTGTGATATGTGTCTTCAGGTGTCTGAAGGGCTGTCATATAATGGATTAGCCTTGCCCCAATA